TCACCATATTAAGATGTGCTTGCTTTGCCTTCCATCAAGATTGTAAAGTTTCCTCAGGCCTCCCTAGCCATGCCTCCTATATAGCCTGTGCAACTGTGAGTCAATTAAACCTCTTTTCTTTATAAACTACCCAGTATCAGGTAGTTCTTTATAGCAATGTGAGAATGGACTGATACAACATTTAATGGTATCAGATTCAAAAGTTGCCAAAGGAAGGTGAAGAATCACCAGGGAGCCTCGCTCTCACTCCAGCTGCAGCCACTGTGGCCACCTCAGAGTCAACTGCTGTCACTCATGTCTTGTGTATCTTTCCAGTGGTTGTCTATATTTATGTGTGCATGTGCCCACTTTTTGAGACAGGGACTTGCTCTGTCACCCAGGCTGGAATGCAGTGGCATGATTATAGCTTACTGCCACCTTGACCTCTTGGTCTTAAGCTATCCTCTTGCCTCAGCCTCCCAAGTAGCTGGGACTACAGGTGTGCACCACCATGCCTGGATATATATTTCTATAGAGAAGAGGTCTCACTGTGTTGCTTATTCTGGTCTCAAATTCCTGGCCTCGAGCAATCCTCCTACCTCGGCCTCCCGAAATCCTGGGATTATAGATGTGAGTCACTGTATCCAGCCCTTACACTTTTTTTAAAAAAAAACAAAAAACAAAAGTGAGCCGTATGTCTCAACACCTGACATAGTTTGTGTTTAAGGTCTTCCTCTGCCATTATCATGCTAGTTTCTATTTTGTTCATTGCTATGTCCCCAGCACTTAGAACAATGCCTGGCACATAGTAGGTGCTCAATAAATATTTCTTGAATGCAAACACAATAAACTAGGAATGAAAGGAAAATTAACCAACTGATAAAGGTCATCTTCAAAACCCCCACAGCTAACATCATACTTTGTGGTGAAAGACTGAAAACTTCCATCCTGAGTTTGAAACAAGACAAAGGTGCCTGTTCTCACCACTTCTATTCAACATTGTACTGGAGGCTCTAGCCAGGACAATTAGGCAAGAAAACAAAATAGAAGGGTTCTGCATTGGAAAGAAGTAAAACTATCTCTAC